CTCTCCGGGCGCCCCCGCCCCGGCTGCGCGCATTGGCCCGGTGGCGCCCGCGGCCCGCCTCTGCCATTATGCGGTCACGGTTGTCTTGTGAGCTCAAGAGCGGGAGGGAGGGCGGGGGTGGAAGCTGAAGAAAGGAGGCTTTGGTCCTCCCAGCTGATCAGGTTGCCAGCTCCCGGTTGGGAAGTTCCTGGAGATTTGGGGGGGTGGAGTCTGGGGAGGGGAGGGACTGCAGTGGGGTAAGAGGCCCTAGAGTTCGCCTGCACGGGAACTGCTGTCTGTGGCCTGGAGATCCGTTGGAGTTCCAGATCTCCAGCTGCCACCTGGAGGTTGGCAGCCTTACAGTGTGAGAGCTTCATTCCCAAGGGAAAGGCATCGCTTAGTCCCACAGTAGGGCAGATGCACAACGAGGGTGGGGTGAGGCAGGGGGCTCCTCAGTGCGTGGCCTTATGATTTGGTTGCCAAACTCCAGGTGGGGCCTGGAGATCTCCCGGACAGAGACCAGTGCCTCTAGAAAAAATGGTTGCTTTGGAAGATTAACTGTTTGGCGTTATATCCTGCTGAGGGAACTCTCTTCAGCAAGCCTTGCTTTCTCCAGGCTCCACCCCTGAATCAGGATTCTCTTAAAAACATCGTAGGTCCCCACTGCATGTGTAACCCCTAGCTAGGAATGGAATGAGCCCGGAACTGCTGGTGGAGCCTCTAGATGCAGAAGGGTGCAGATGGTGTGGGGGGAAAAGGAGGGAAGGAAAGTCTGCCCTGCTGGGGAGCTGGAACCTTAATCATAGGCTCTGAATACCTTGTTTATGGGCTGTGCTATCTAATGGGGAGTTCATTTGGCACCCTCATTTTGGAAAACAGTGCAAGGAGACTGGAGACTTCCTGGGCCACCAAGAAGAAAGAGGTGGACTTTGGGGGTGGCATGCTGTGATGGAAACGTTAATTATTTGGACTTTAAAAGATCACTGCTCCATTGTATTACTAAATCTATGTTTTTATTACATGATATGATGTGGCGGAAAGTAAAGATGTTTTATTCTCTTTGAATTGCTGACAGATTCAGCCCCAAGTTCTCCCCACACAAAATACACCGTGGAGAGAAGGTATTGATCAAGGTCAAATACCACTGCAAGTGTTACTTAAAGGCATATGTCTCACACATAATAAATGAGAAAATCATGCACAGAGATTAAACTATAAATCTTTTAGTACGATCCACATCTACTGGACACCATCTTGTCTTAATTTAAGGGCAACAGTACTTAGCACTTTATGTACATTGATATTTATTCGATTTTACTTTGTTTTACTTAGTTTTAGGTATTGGCACATGGTGCCCTTGTTTGTTAGCCGCCCTGAGCCCATTTGTGGGGGGCCGGGGTAGAAATTTAAATAAATAAAATAAGTAATAACAACAAATGTACTTATTGCTTATCAAAGCACAAAGCCTTCCTAAAGCAAGACCAGTAAATGGGCTGTATGCAGTCCTTGAAAACACTGTAATCTTCTTTGCTGTTTCTTAGTTTCAAACTTTCAGGTTTGCAGGTAGGCTGAGAAACCAGGCTGACATCTCCTGTCGGCCGAGAGAGTTTTGATTCTACTTCTTCAGAGCCAATATATTCTTATGGAACCACACAGTTTACATATTTTGCATGCCTTATCATACTCCCACAAGGGCTCATTACACTCCTTACGGAAAAGCGGTTCTCCAACCGACAAGCTGAGGTTACACATGCACCTGATGTTTCCTTAGAAGTAAGCCTTGGGGCCGAGGCCCCAAGTGTGTGCCTTTAGTCACGCCATTGGGCATGGAAGCCGGATGGTGAGGAGCAAATGGATTCCCCGCCCGCATGAATGCACCAAGGTGCTTTATACTGAGTCAACCCCTTGGTCTGTTGAGGTCAGTTTTGCCCACTATTTCCTACAATTTCCTACTATACCCTGTTTCATACTATCAGATCATTTTAACTGGAGATACCGGAGATTGAACCTGGGACCTTCTGCATGCCATGCACATGTTCTTCCACTGAGTCACAGTTCCTCTTGATAATGAACACGTGACTCTGCCTTATTGCCTACTCTGACTGTCAGCGGCTCTTCAGAATCACAGGACGAGATCTTTCCTTCCCATCATGTTTCCTGATCTCCAGTCCAATCCAACTACGGTTCCCATGACCATTATCATGAACAGGAGCACACAATTGGGTAAAACAAACCAGGCAGGTGACTCTTCAAATACACTGCACTATAACCACCGCCAAATATTTGACCACCTGTAACTCAGCTTAATACGTTTCTTAATAATGAAGAAGTTTTCTCATTCAGGGAATCAGAACCAGCTACAAGTCATGGGAGAATTAGCTTTGATTCTAGACTGAAAATATGGGACAATCTAAAACTATATGGTCAATAGATCCAGTTGGTCAGCCCTATTGGTCTGAAGCAGTACAACAAATTTAGAGTCCAATGGCACCTTTAAGACCAACAAAGGTTTATTAAAGGAATGAGTTATACGGTCAATATAATCTCTTCGATCTGAACCACAGGTACATGGTGGTAGAACATGTTATCAAGTCACAGCTTTCTTAAGGCAACCCCATGGGCTTTTCAAGGCAAGAGACGTTAAGAGGTAGTTTGGCATTGCCTGCCTCCACATCATGACCCTGGTACTCCTTGGAGGTCTCCCATCCAAATACCTGCCAAGGTAAACTCTGCTTAGCTTCTGAGAATGAGATCTCATGAGCGCGGGCTAGCCCGGGCTAACCAGGACAGGGCTGGCTGGTACATAATCCAGAAAATTGTATACTTTGGTATCTTCCCATTAAAACTGCATTCAGGTGGGTAGCCATGTTCATCTGAAGCAACAGAACAAAGTTTGACCAGTGGGGCACCTTTAAGACCAACAAAGTTTAATTCTGCATATAAGCTTTTGTGTGCATGCACACTTCTTCAGATACATATTCAGATATGCACACAAAAGTTTATATGCAGAATTAAACTTTGTTGGTCTTAAAGGTGCC